GGGTTTTTCCATGCTGTGTTGAGAGTTGGGGAAATCAATGTCTTAAGAAAACTTTTTGGGATACAAACTCCTCATTTAATTTGCAGGCCTGTGAAGGTAGTGGTTGAAAGCAGAGCCTGAGCTGAGCCTACCAGGATTCAAATCCAACCTCCGCAATTCATTACCTGTAGGACCTTGAGCAAGTAGCCTCTGTGCAGCTCAAGTTCCTCTTCCTTGTGAGAGAAAGAACCAAAGCATTTACCCCATTGGATTCAGGATTAGATGAATACCACATGCATCTTAAAACAGCGTCTGACACAAATTCAGTGCTACTTAAAGTTATCTCTCTGTAGGCCATGCTCTACAGAAATGTCTCTGAGTTCTATGCTTGTTGCTGTTTTAAAGGCACAGAGATCCTTAAACATGTGGAACATCAAATGATGGTTGATGGAGCTCGTACTTGGTTGATTACCCATGGCAACCACCAATGTCCAGTGTGACATACACGCAGGCATATATGTTAGGATTACAAGATTCAGCCAGGTGTGGTGGTGCACACCTATACTCCCAGCACTCAGGGAGGCTGGTGGATCTCTGTGAGTTCAAGGCTAGCCTGGTCCTACAAAGAAAGTCCAGTACAGCTAAGGTTACACAGAGAAAAAAAAAAGGGGGGGGGAGAATTAAAAGATCTATGAAAATACCATCCCCAAGCTGTTCCACAAGCCAGGGGTTCCCTGCCCCCAAATTGGCAATGCCAGTTCTCCCCACTGCTCATCTTTTTTATCAGGAAGGCTCTGAGTCTGTGAATTTTCTTCCCACTCATTCTCAAATGACTTTTCTGATATGAGCATTGTTGAATATGCACAAGAAAGAGCAAGATAGAGGCATAGTGTGTGTTCGGACTGATTTGCATAAGTATAAATACAATATATGTGCCCACATTTAAATGATGTAGTGATAATATTGTGTTGCTTTCCCAGAGTGAAAGCTAATTAATTCAGCTATTGATATGCTAATGACTTCCTTTTCAGTTTAATACCAGAGGTAAAAAGAAAGAAAGAAAACCTGCAGAATTTTTCTATGCAGCCTTCCTTTGATTCATCTTGGAATAAGGAGTCTCATTCTGTTAACTATTGAGCTGTCTATCAGTATCTATGACAGTTTTAAAGGGAATCATTCCTAGGCAGAGCTGAAGACTCATGGGAAGACTGACTCATGCGAGCTAAGATGTTCATTGAGCTCATTGCTTGGCATTGGGGGAAAAGTTCCTTTTGCTTTACTCACTAAAAATGCACATTTTGATATTTGCTCTCTCCACATCAGTGCTAATCTGAGGCATAGAGTGTGTTTTTGTAATAAGATTTTATTTGGTTGGCTTTGACATTTAGGAAAGTGTCAGATCTTTCCTGCTGTAATTCAGACCAATTGACAAGCAAGCCCCATGACTCAGTTAACTTTGACAGATCTACCTTTTCCTGTGGCCTCTGTTTTCATGTTTAGTTAGTTACCTGAGGCTAGAAAGTTCTCTTTTTTAGGTCTCTCCCAGTCTAGCCTAGGTATCTCTAACCTTTCAGCTATGTTGTGGTAATGGACTCCAGTCTCCAGTCTCCACTCTTCTTCATCTTGTTCTGTCTTCAAGGACTTTCTCCAAATGCAGGTTAGGTCAGACATTCTGCTGCTAACTTCTTCAAGGGTCCCTTTTTCTACAAAGCAAACACCCCTCTGTGTGGCTTTCAAGGGCATTTAATATTATTTTCTCACTTGGTCTCCTTTGCCACCTCTCACTAATATTCCCAGACTCTATCCTGCTACCAGGATGGATTGTCCAGTTTTCCTAGGAACTTTGGTAACATGCTGCTTTGCTCATTTCCAGGAGGTCTCTCCTCCCTTACAGTACATGTTTCAAAAGTTATTCTCTAAGCCCTCATTCAAACTCTTCATAAAGCTTTCTCTGATTTCCCTACCTGGAGCTAGAGTCACTGCAGCTCAACACTTGATTCTCAGGCTTCAGGAGATCCTTATCTTATAGTTATTATAAAATAATTTTGAATTAGTTGGTAGCTGGATACATTTTCATAATAAATATGCAACGTCCATGTCTACAGAACAATTGTTCTCCTCCTTCTAAAATATGACACCTTTCCAAGTACATAAATGACCCAAAATTTTGTTCTATATTCCAATATCTTTTCTTCCATGTTTCAATAATATCCTGCTTATTTAGCTGCCTGTCACCCTGTCTTGTATTCTGCTCTGAATTTACTTCTTCATATTCCCAAGCTGAGAGTTCTGAAGACAGGAGTGTCTTACCCATCTTGATACCTAAGAAGTTCAGAGAATGCAGTTTTCTGTCAGCGCTTAATATTAAACTGTTCTCTTTTCCTTTGCCCCAGGGGAGGCAACCATAACTGAGGGATTGAGTGGATGTGCTTTAGAGCATGACTTCCTGGATTTGAGTTCTCCTTGTACATAAAATCATGGCTGAAGTTTTTAATTTCTCTGTATCATTTTTCTTTTCTTTATAATATAAGGCAAGAGAACATTATGCTCACTTTAAAACTGATATTATAATTAAGTACCTAAGTGATGGTAAAGTGGTTAAAACAATAATAATTGTTAGAGTGTAAATAGTAAATGTTTGCTATTATTCCAACATCTGTACAAATTATAACCTATGTCTTGGACAATAGCAAGTCATTGTGATGTTAGCGTAAGTCTTTGCCAAGAACCTCAAACAGGGAGATCTTGGCTTAAAGGGATAACATTGTTCTCTTTTCTTTCTGTTGCTGTAAGAAAACTCTTTGACCAAAAGCAACTTAGGGTAAGAAAGGGTTTATTTCAACTTATGCTTTGAAGTCACAGTCCATCACTGAGTGAAGTCAAGGCAGGGATTCAGGACAGGTCTGCTTGCTGTTTCCTACAGCGTTATCTGCAGTAGAGAATTCCCTCCCAGCCAGTGAAGCACAACAGAAACCAAGCGTGCTGGCTCACTGTGTGGCTTGCTAGCTCACTGTGTGGCTTGCTGGCTCACTGTGTGGCTTGCTCAGCTTCCTTATACAGCCCCAAACTGTCTGTCCAGGGAATGGTACCACCCACAGTGGACTGGGCCCTCCTACATCAATTAACATTTAAGATTCCTCCATGGGCTTGTCCACAAACCAACCAAACAAAGACAATTTCTCCAGGGAGTCTTTTAGAAAGACCTGGTGATTCTAGATGCTGTCAAGTTAACAATTAACATTAGGTAGCACAAGACTAAACCACCAAATCCCTAGAGGCTGGAGGAGGACATAGAGCTATGAGCTAGAATTTAAAGAGCTTTCCTCTCATCAAGGAAGTGTGAACAAAAGCAGGCCAGTGATGGGAGGGGTTCCTCAAGAGTCCAACCCAAAGAGGAAGTGTCAGCTTTGAAAACTTGCCACACGTACCCAGCTCACGAGAACACAGTAGTGCCCCCTCGTCCACGCTGATACGCAGTAGTAATCGTTCACAAGTGAGATCTCTCAAATGCCACTGGCTCGGTAACCGGTACAACATTGATTTGCTGACTAACGGGGTGATTTCTATCCTGGATGAGACTGCAAGGAAAAAAATAAGTAAAAATAGAAATGAATCCCTTTCCCATTCATCACACTACTCAGAAACAGGAATAATTTCAAAATTTATGAGGGGCTTACGTCTCTAAATTTCCATTAGTATCTTTGCACCCTGGTTTACTACATGTCATCAGAACCCAAGAAACTGAAATTGTGGGTAAGTGTGTGAGCAAGTGTGAATTTCTCTGTTAATTCTCTTGCTTCCCAAATGCATGTCTCTGCTTGCCACCACACCAGTTCTGGAATTCTTGGGATCTATGGTTAACTAGTTGGAGGAGAACAAGTAGATGTGGGATGTGAGGGAGGGGGAAGCCACATTCCCTTGCTACCTTTAGGCATCTTACCTGAACTGGCTGCAGCTGGACTGGACCTTCTCTGGGGAGATACTGCCTTTTAAATCAAGCCTGGCAGGCAAGGCTGTCATATTAAGTGCCAAAGAACTAAAACCTTGAATACAACTTTTCTTCCTACAGGCCCGATAAACATATTCTCTGGCTTTTTGCTTATTGCTCACTTTTAAAGTTTTATTTTTTTAAAAAAGAATTATTTATTTCATTTAATGTGTGGTAGGAGTTTTGTCTACATGTGTGTATATGTACCGCCCGCACGACTGATGTTCACGGAAGTCAGAAGAAGGTGTTGGATTCCTGGAAGTGGAGTTTTATGGGTGGTTGTAAACCACCATGTGGGTTTGGAGACCCCAAACCTGGCCTTCTGCAAAAGCATCAAGTGCTCTTGAACGCAGAGCCAAATCTCTAGCCCCTCGCTTGCTACATTAACAGTTCCCTGCATTTGTCCTACCCCAGGACAGTGTCCAGTGGTATCCATACAGACTCCTACTTCTCACTCGTCTGGTTGTGTGCATGTGTTTGCTTTTGGTCACCCTTTGAACTCTGGGAGGGCAGGGATGGATCGTTTGCCTTTATAGCATCATCATGTAGTACTTACTGGCATGCAATTGTCCCCCAATAAAGATAAATGAAAGCAATACTTTCATTTGAGACAGGGTTTCTCTGTGTAGCCTTGGCTGTCCTGGAACTCACTCTGTAGTCCAGGGTGGCCTCAAACTCACAGAGATCCGCCTGCCTCTGCCTCCTAATGCTGGGACTAAATGCATGGGCCCCCAACACCCTGGTTGTAATATATTCTTAAACAAACACCTGAAATTTTTTCAGTACAAGAGGCCCTAATTCTCACTTGTTTTAGAGAGATTTTAAAATAGCTCCCTTTTCAGCAACAGTGCAAGGCAAAGTGTCTATTGCTACATATCCATTGTTCGAGACTCATCTGAGTGATTTCCAACACTTCATGAAAAAGAACAAAATGAAACAAAAAACAAAACAAAATGCCGAGTCCTGGCACACATGAATCCACATGTATTTCCTGAAAACTTGTTATGGATCTTCTTACATGTTTCTCCCATAGGTTTCTTCCGGAGAAGCATTACCAAAAATGCCGTGTACAAGTGTAAAAACGGGGGCAACTGTGTGATGGATATGTACATGCGAAGGAAGTGCCAGGAGTGCCGGCTAAGGAAGTGCAAAGAGATGGGGATGTTGGCTGAATGTATGTATACAGGTATCCACTTCAAGCAATTAAATTCCACTAGCACCTCTTAAGGAGGCAGGTGCCAGGTAACCAGACCACCCCATACTCGTGGTGGACTGCTGAGCAGCCTCAGTTCTTGAAAGGGGCAGCGGCCCACCGCCCTCCGAAGCCTCAAGAGCCTCTCAGCTCTCTGAAAGAAATGACTGGGCTTTGGTTTGGGTTTTGGTTTCCTTTGTTGTAAGGAATTTATACAAGGAGTCATGTGTCATTCCCAAATTATTGAAATAGGTTGGCTTAATGGGCTATGTAGAATGACAATCTGAAAGGTTCCTCTAAATTTGAATTTAATGTACTTCTTATTTATTGCTTAATTCCCATTTAAATGCATAGCGGCGAAACAATAGCTGCCTCTGAATTATCTAAATAGGGTTTTAAACAAAGTCATTTTTATTAAGAATTTGTCTCCCCTTAGATCAGCTGTGAGCCAATTTGTATAGGTTTACACAGGAAATTAACTACCCCGAGTTTTAATATAATTTTGTCCTTCTATCTGATAAAGGGATACTGTATTAAACACTGGCTTTATGAGGAACCACCGTCTTCATCAGAAATTGGAATGCATGTCCGTATAACACCATTAATTTTTCATCCTACAGCCTGCTCAGATTTAGAGATAAGCCCTGTCCCTCCTCAAAACAAAACAGACAAACAAATGTCACCAAGGGGATGACAACATTCAAGAAGGGAATGCCGCATGAAATAAAAGCCTGTGGAAAGTGACTCCAGATCTATTGTTCCCAAACTGTACAGGCAATGGGATGCTCCCAGAAAAAAAAAACAATGTGTGCAGGAGGGAGGAAAATCGGTCTGGGTAAATCAATAATCCAGCCCTGGATGGATGAAAGTTTTATACAGGCTGATCACAATCACGTTTTAGCACACATGAAATAAGAGCCTGAACGGGGCCAGCGGCTGCAATCCAATCTTGCAATGGAAATACTTTGACACGGGCTGGTTCGTGTTGCTCATTACTTAAATATGAACTTGTTCCATCTGAGCTCATTGTGTAAAGGACCCTCCCCATAAGAGTCCATTGTCCTATTCAGCAGCACGAAAATCTTCCTGTCGGGGGTGAAGCTGTTTCATGACTCTTTGCACAGTGAACCTCCAGAGGCTTTGTTTCGTTGTTACCGAGAGAAGAACAACAAAATCCAATAAATATGGACGGTCTTTCCGCATTACTTGTTAAAGTTCAAAGCATAATCAATGATGACATTACATGCTCATTTTTTAAAAAATAAGACACTATGTACTAGTGGGGTTTCTACAAGTATTTAAAAATACCTGAGAGAATTATTAAGAGGAAACATTCCTTTTGGCTCCTACTCTAACGAGTCACTGACTGACTTCCACAGCATTTAAGCTTCTCGTAGAGATGCTGTAGGTGAGGAGCTGAGGACAGAGAACAGAGCTTACTCTGTGGCTGGAGTCCCACAGTCCCACTGTGGGCATGTCGCCAGTGGCCCAGCTCTTCTATGAGGCCCCCCTAAAGGATCCACCACTCCCAACAGCATACCCCCAGGGCCTCGGTCTTTAAGTAATGACTGGCATTCCTTAAGCATTGTAACCTTTATATCTTTAAATAATTTGTGTAGATTAATAGGATTTATTTTTTTTCTGAAAGATGTTCACCTTTGTTTTACTCAACAAGTTTAACATAAAACAGAATACATTTCTTATTAAACAGTTTTAATATAGGTGAAAGTAATAGTAATTGTATGACTGGAAGCCAGCTTTCCTGGTCTCCTAGACCAGGAACAGGGACTGTGTCATTTACCGGGCCATTGACTGAACACCTTTGTATAATCCTTTAGCGTCACAAATTATTTTTATATAAAGCCTGTTTTTTTAAATATCTAATCACATCTATGCAAAACCCTGCAGCATGTATTTGTATTTTAAAAAATAAGAAGCAGACTCACAAATATCACATGCTTCACTCAAAATCAAATCTTAAAAGTATTACCCTTTTATTTTTACTTAAGGTTTGTGTTTGTGTATGTGTCCATGTCTGTGTGAATGTGTGCCATGTGTGTGGGGTCCTGAGGAGGCCAGGAGAGGGCATGGGCCCCCCCGGAGCTACAGTCTCAGGGTGTGAGGCACCCCACACACATGGCATGGGAGGTGGGGCCAAGCTTCTCCGGGCTTCTAGAAGAGCAGCAAGTGCTCTAACTGTGAAGCTGTGGCTCTATCTGCCCTTCTTTGAAATGTCAGACAAGCTAGAATTAATTCTGACGCATCACCTGAGCTGAGTACATAGCAGCTGCATCAGGCCACACACCCAACAGGATTTACTCTGTTTCTTTTCTGTTTTTCAGGTTTGTTAACTGAAATTCAGTGTAAATCTAAACGACTGAGAAAAAATGTGAAGCAGCACGCAGATCAGACCATGAATGAGGACGGGGAAGGACGGGACTTACGACAAGTGACCTCCACGACCAAGTCATGCAGGGTAACAGAGCCGGGACGTCGCTGCCAAAGCCCCAGCGAGAGTGCCTCTAGGAACCCGCCAGTCAGAGCAGAGCCTAGGCCATCTCAGTTGCGCACTGAAATGGAGTCCTTCATTTCTTTTGAATCAAGAGGGAAATAGATGCTTTTGGTGTGAAATTATAAATAATAGCAGTGTATAGGGTAAAAAGCGAAGGCTCTTCTTCCTGGGCTACTTCCTGCCACCTTAATGGCTGCCAGTGGGAATGATTTAGGATGGAGTTTTCTACCTGAGGTTTTGTTTGTTTGTTTGTTTAAGATGGGATCTTACTATGTGGCCATGGCTGGCTTGGAACACAATATTTAGACCAGAATAGCCTCAAACTTACAGAGATAACACCTGCCTCTGCCTCTGCCTCCTAAGTGCTGGGCCTTGCCTCCAGAATTCTGGGATTAAAAGCACGTACTGCCATGCCTGGGCTCTATCTGAGTATTTGCTGAACATATCTCAACTCTCCCCCCTCCCCCACCACTCTTGCCTTTGAGAAGGAAAGTTCCAGCTTGGGAAGTGTGGACCCATCACAGGCTATGGCTTGACCTTCATCAGTGGGTAGAACAGGGTACCACACCTCTGTGAACCCATAGAGAAAATGCTTTTCATTGAAAAAAAAAAAACATCTTAAGAAATCCATTGAATAACTAAGGACAAAGTGAGCGGACAACATCTGGGCTGAGCAGACACCACACAATGATGCGTCTCGGCACACCTGCAAGAATGCTTATCTGCTGCGAGCTGAAAAACCAATAAGCCATGATACCCAAGTTACAGCTCTGCCCACGTTTATCTCACAAGGAGAGCTTTATCCACTGTTAGGCTTTTAAACTTATTGTCTGCATTGGTCTCAGAAAAACTAACCTCATGGAAGAGGATCATTCTCATCACAGTGTCTTATCACAATGCTTTCATATAAGAAAACAAAAAGCTAACCCAACAGTTCACATTTCCCAAGAGACAGTGAAGAGGGAAAGGATATTTGGGGTCTCAGTTGGGCAGACTGACAGACGGTGGGTTCAGAGGTCTGTTATTTTTTTTTCCTTTTTTAAGATATGTTAGATAGGTTTTTAGGTGCTGGCCACATGTTCTCTAAGACAACTATGTAACTGCCATTTCAATTCAAAAGCAGCACAGACAAAATATCAGCAAGGAGCATGGCCACATTCCAATCAAACTTTATGTTTATACGGGTGGATTGGTCCAGAGGCCCAGTTTGCCACTTTTGAGTATAAATGAGTATGCATAGGTGGATTCTCCATCTAGAACACAGCGAGCTATGATTTAACCTTGAAATTCTACTGACTTTCACTCAATAGCCTCTACAGTCACTACTATTTACTCCCATGGTTCAAATCTTTTTTTTTTTTTCTCTTTTTTTCTTTCTTTCCTTTTTTTGTTTTTTTGTTTTGTTTTGTTTTGATTTTGGAGACAGAGTTTTTCTGTGTAGCCTTGGCTGCCTAGATTCGCTCTATAAACCAGGCTGGCCTCGAACTCACAGAGATTACCTGCCTCTGCCTCCCTGAGTGCTGGGATTACAGGAGTGTGCTACCATGCCCAGCTTGTTTGTATTTTCTAAATAGGAACATGAGCAAGTTAAAGCGATTTTAGGGAAATATGTTACTGCTTGTGCCAGGACGTAGAAGAACCTATTTCCCGCTCTGTGAAAGCTCACAGCTCTGGGGCTTTGAAAAATCCTGTTATTAGTTTGTTTCAGATAAGTGCACATATTAGAAGGCACCTGTAGCTGCCGTCCCTAACACCTTTCATTTTCTTGCCAGTGTAGGAGAGAACTGAACTCACCCCAGACCAGCAGACCCTCCTGGATTATATTATGGATTCATACAACAAACAGAGAATGCCTCAGGAAATAACAAATAAAATCGTAAGTATACTATCTGAAAACACACTTGTTTAAAGTTAGCAATGTTTTGGCAGCAAGATTTTATTATCTTTTAAGGTGGCATTTATATATAAATGCGTTACTCAAAGTGATTGTACTGAGACTTCAAGTTAAACGTTCAAGCTTTTATCAGCATTAAGCAATTAAAAAAAGAAGTCTCAGATCTATCTCGTAAATAGTAATTGTTCTCCAAATGTGATCTGGGTCTTTAAATTTCATTATTCAAGTCTGTTTTTTTTTCCTTTAATGCTTTTATACTGAGTTATCCTTTTCCTATCTACTTATTAATAATTTACTTTTTTTCTTAACATTTAGTTAAAAGAAGAATTTAGTGCAGAAGAAAATTTTCTCATATTAACAGAAATGGCTACCAGTCATGTACAGATTCTTGTAGAATTCACAAAAAAACTTCCAGGTATTTTTTAATAATAAAAAATAATGTTCTTGAAATGTGTTAAATGATAATGTTAATCACTTTGTGTATAATATTTTTTTTTTAATTCTTAAAGGATTCCTATGTGATCAGATCTATCATCGTGATTTCTTTTGCTAGGTTTTTCCATTTGCAATTGCTCTACTACATTGTACAGTTTTCCTGTAACCCTGAGAGATTCATCTCACTATAAAATCAAAACTGTATCTGACTTAATGTTTCTAATTCCTATAGACATGAAAATTTAGAGGCAGAAAGCATACCCAGAATCCTTCTTACCCATAATAATTCTTCCCTGGGGTAAAGTTGTAGTTGGTAGAACACTTGCTTAATATACACGAAGCTGAGTTAGATCCATAGCACTGTGTAAACTGGGCCTGATGGCATGTGCTTGTCAATTCTGGCACTTAGAAGGTAGAGGCAGGAGAAATAGAAGTTTACGGTCTTCCTTGGCTGCATAATAAGTTTGAGGCCAGCCTATTATACATTAGATACTGTCTTTAAAAAAGAAAAAAGTTCTTCCTAATCAGTAGGTCAGAACTGAGACCCTGCCAAGTTGTCATTTATCTACTCATTCAACAAGCAGTGGTTGATAACATACAAGTGCATGGCTGTTCCCTTCAAGAAGAAGGGTAGTTAAAGGGTGTTAACACACACACACACACACACACACACACACACACACAAGCGCGCGCACATACACGCACTATTTGAACAAAGAGGACTAGATAGTTTTAAGATTTAATTTTTATTACGTGTGTGTGTGTGTGTGTGTGTGTGTGTGTGTGTGTGTGTGTGTGTG